TGGGTACTTGTTTTTTGATACATTGTCTTCTCCTGGGTAGTGGATACATTGTCTTCTCCTGGGTAGTGGATACATTGTCTTCTCCTGGGTACTTGTTTTTTTGATACATTTTCTTCTCCTGGGCAGTTGCTGCTTTGATACATTGTCATCTTCTGGATAGTTCTCTTATTCACACACACACAAAAGGAACTGAAAAGACAAGGACACATTTCAACTTTCTGATTCTCATTCACTCAGACTGATTAAATCCATCTCATCTGTGGTGAGCCAGGAAAGAGACAGCTTGCTGTCCTCCAAGCCTATGAATCCGGAATAATTGTTTTCTTCCTTGGAATGATGGAAAGAACCTACAAGAGTCAAGAACATTGAGATTTGGTGGAGGGATGGCTCAGGGGTTAGGAGCACATACTAATCCAGGGGGCCTGAGTCTGTTCCCTAGCTTCCACATGAGGAAGCTCACAGCTGCCTGAAACTCAGCTCCAGGAGATCTGATGCCCTGTTCTGGACTGCATGGGGACAACCACGCAGTTGTGCTCATGTGCACAACCCCCCCGCCCACATACATAATTAAAAATGAAATAACTCTTTAAAAGGGAAGAAAAACCACTGCATCCTTGAAATTCTAGATCTAAGGTTGAGCACCCACAAGCGGCTCCCCGGAGACATGCAAGAATAAAACAAGTACAGACGCTTCCTGACAGAATTGTCTACGCCGTGACGCTACTTAAAGATGAAAATACGCTCTCGAGAGCAGCCATTCAAAGACAAGAATGCTCTTCTAGATGGAGATGCTCACCGGGACCACGTGACTTCCAGCAGTTTCAAATGGCTGGCAATGTACGGTAGACTATGAAAATGCAAATTTGGGGTGGGTGGGAGATGGCTCGGTGGTTAGGAATCCTCCTGTAGAGGATGTGGGTTTGGTTTCCACACCCACATGGCAGCCCACAACTGCCTGCAACTCTGGCTCTAGGGGCTCTGACACCCCTTTCTGGTCTCCGTAGACACGGCACACATGTGGCGCATAGAGAAGACATCCCTACACACACCACACAGTCTTTTAAATGCAAAGCTGCCGAGCGCTGACAGGTCCTCAGCTTTGCTGCCATTCTGTTTTTGTCTGAGACGCAGTCTTGTGTAGTTCAGGTAGTCCATGAGCCCGTCACGTGACCAAGGCTCCACACATACTGTCGGAAAGGGGGAAAGAAGCGCTCTTGGCTTTAGTCTCTAAATCAGTTAGCTGTGTGAGTGACCCTCAGATCTGACCTCAGGCCTGATTGCCTCTCCCTGTCTGTGCGGGAGGTAGGTTACAGCCAGAAGTGTTCAAAGTGGCCTGGAGTTCCTATCACTCTACGGCTCAGCCCAGAACGAAGTCCATTCTTGACGTAACTGAAGAGCTGAAGATGGCTGCAGCTTCCTCCTAGACTCCACCAGGAAAAGGCTAAAGCCAGGGCCGGAGGGCAGCCCTGTGTGTCCTCCTTGTCACAGCCTGGCAGCCACACGCTTGAGTGTTGAGCACAGCAGCACAGGTGCAGATGGTCTCCAGAGCCAGGCTTTAGGGGTGCACTGAGGATCCCAGGAGCCTCCAGGGACCCACAGCTCTGTCTAGACGGTAAGTGAGGACCTCGTGCTTATGAGCAGGTCTGTGCAGGGATGGTGTGGGCCTGAAGAGGGGGATTGAAGTCTTGAGAATGTACTGAGAAATGGTCCCTTTATTGGGAAATAAGTAAATGAACAAATAAAAAAATTTTAAAAATGAAAGAAGAGTGAAGGTAAATTGTATATGGAAATGGTCTACTTCCTTGTGTGACGTTACTGCCCTACTCGGAACTCAGACTCCAGCTCCAAGATCCCCTGTGAGACCATGAACCCACAGAAGGGCAAGAGAGTCCCCTCCCCAGACACAGGAAACACATGGCATTTTCCTCGCCCACGGGAAACCTGTTGGCCTTCGGAAGAAAGAGAGGACATGAAAGGACCTGGGGAGGGCTGGGGTTGGTGGGTTTTGTGGAAGACACAGTTAGAAAGCTGTGACTAAAGTTAAGTTTTGAGAGGGAATTTTCCTGAGAACCTTCACCTGTTGCCTTCCCACAGTGAACCCAGCCTTGACCTTCCCCTCTGGAGATGAAGGGGTCTCCCGCCTTCCCTCTGGCTGGCTGTCTCCTCCCTCTGCTCCTCCTGGTGTCCGAGGGAGTCTCAGGAGGTCAGTGTTCTGTCTCCTGCTCTGTATTCTCTCTGGGACACTGGCCCGTCCTTCATAAAGCAGAAGGATGCAGTTCTCAGACTCTGGAGAGAACTCAGAGAGGAGGTCACGTGAATGGCTTAATCTGGTTTTAGCTCCTGAATCTGACGTCAGGCGGTAAACGTGAAACTCCAGGTGAAACTCCAGGGCCCTGTACATGCTGGACAACTGGTCTACCAGCCAATAGGCGCCAGCCCTACCATCAAAAATGTTAATGTCCATGAATGCTGATTCAAAACCTTTTAAATTGTTGTGTAAAACATGTGTGTGTATTCATGTGTGTGTGCATGTGTGTGAAGTTTATTGTGCATTATTTAAAGTAATAAGGTGAGGTGCCATAAATGTTACCCATTAGGAGAAGCTTGACTCTAATGTGTAGATGGTTAAAAACAAGTAAATAGGGTATTTGTATATAGCTAGGCACATGTACTGAAATAGTTGATGGTCTTTGATCACCAGAACTGATGTCTAATCATTCCATCCACTTGAAACCGTGATTTCCCCACTGCACCGTGAAATGGTCTTTCTGAATCCAGCCGCTGACACGTGTGTGCCCTGACACCCAGTGTTGGGTAACTGAGACCACGCCGGCCTCAGGTCACAGAGGCCCTCCATGTTTGGAAGCAATGCGGAACTGAAAAGAGCCTGTCCCCGTCCAGCAGTGGTCACTGTGGCACTCCTGGACTAGAGCAGGAGTCTCTGGGGCCACCAACTCTATACTCGCACAGAGTTCCCCAGTGCGGCCGTCCCTGCCTGAACTCGCAACCCAGACTACCTCGTTTTAGGCTCATAGGGCTCGCTCTCTCTCCAGCTCTCGCTCTCTCTCCTGATGCTGACTTTGTGACCTTGGCTATGTTGACATACTTGAACTGTCCACTTCCTAAACTGTACAATGAGAAGCGTCTGTGTATCCCAGTAGATTCTTAATACCAAAGGGGCTAATATTTCTGAACAAGTGTTGATGTTGCAAAAGTCCGAAGAACACACATAGCTACCCACACATACACAGAGACTGAGCTGTTTACACATGCTTATATAACTGTTAACTTTTTATCTGTTTTCTAAAGTAGAATCAAGGAGAAACGTGTTTAGCCCGAGATACGCAGGCTTGCTTGCTTGCTTGAAGTCTCATATCTCTAACTTGCTTCCACAATCTCTCTCTGGTCCCCAGAGGCGTCCCAGTTTTCTGTGACGGGACCAGCCGAGCCCGTGATGGTCCTGCTGGGCACTGACGCCACCCTGCCCTGCCAGCTGTCCCCCGAGCAGAGCGCAGCTCACATGGACATCCGATGGTACCGGGCCCGCCTCACCTCCACTGCGCTGGTGTTCAGCAATGGACAGGAGCAAGGAGAGCGGCAGACGCCGGAGTACCGGGGCAGGGCCCGGATGGTGAGAAACGCCATTGACTCGGGAAGGGTGGCTCTGCGGATACAGCAGGTCCAGGCCTCTGCCGATTTTCGCACGGCTCCACCGCCCAAGAGGTCTCCGTGGAGCTGCGATTGTAGGTATGCGAGCCGGGCACACAGTGTTGGCTGTGATGTGAGGCGCAGGGCAAGCTGTCCCCCGTCCTCCTTACACCCCGCCGGGAGCTGCCTGTGGCCCTGGATGTGAGGATGTCTGTTGCAAATCAGTTCCCGGCAGCATCCAGTGAGAATGACACTGTCCGCCACCAGAGTCCAACACCACACATCTTACATTTCTGAACCCGAGGGGTGTGCCTGTGCGCGCGCGTGTGCGCGTGTGTGCGTGCAGGCGCACATCTGTGTGTATTTGTGTATGTGTGGAAGGCAGAGGTCAGCCTCAGGTCGCTGTCCACCACGTTTTCTGAGACAGGACTCTCGTTGACCTGCAAATCACTAATTCATCCGGGCTGAGTGGTCAGTGAGGCCCCGGTCCCCAGGCTTGCGCCTGCTCACACAGGCTGTGTCTTCTCTCCTCAGGGTTAGGCTCTGCCCCTCTCGTTTGCATGACCTGAGAACAGTGGGATCCGAGTGCTGTGCTCCTCAGGTGGCTGGTTCCCAGCTCCCAGGGTGCAGTGGAGAGACACCAAGGGGAAGCTCTACCGTCCTCCTCTGAGTCGCTGACCCAAGACGCAGCCGGACTCTTCCACGTGGAGGCGGCGCTCTTGGTCACAGACGGAGATGTAGGCAGCGTGGTCTGCTCCATCCAAAACCCCCTCTCTGAGCAAGAGGAAGCGAAGGGCATCCTCCTCCGAGGTCGGGGAAGACCAGACTCCGAGGGGGTGGGAGGGGGAGGAAGAAGGGCCGAAAGGCGTTGTCCCCAGGCCAGTTTCTGACTATGCTCGCGCCCTGGCAGAGCCCTTCTTCCCCAGGTCGTCTCCGTGGAGAGTAGCTCTGGCTCTTTCTCTCTCCATACTGCTGGTCCTGCTCAGCGGGATCAGCTTTGCCACCTGGAAGGAACATCAAGTCAAAAGGAGAGAACTGGATAAAAGGGCGGAAGAATCTGCTGAAGTGGATCTGGCAAGGAAGGAAATGGAGGCTGCGCTGAAGGGCAGAGGTACAAATGGGGACAGCAGAGCATGTGAGAGGTTCGGGGAAGGCTGGGGACTGAAGGTGCTAGGGAGCATGGAGTGCAGTCCCTGAGGGCCAGAGGACAGAGCAGGGTGGACGAAGGCCTCTGAGGTGTGGCCTCAAACTACAGCCCAGGCCTCCACACCCTGCTCTTCACAGCCCCATGCTCTGCCCACGAGGCACCCCTCCCCAAGCCTCACCTCTCCCTACACTCTGCCCCTCCCCACACCCCGCCCCTCCCCACACTCTGCACCTCCCTACACCCTGCCCCTCCCCATGAGCACATTCTGCCCCTCCTCACGACCCCCACAGCCCATCTTTCCCTGCACCCACACTCCTACAGAGGGGGCTGCTGGTTCTCTTCCTACGAATCAGTCAAAAACCGGCTTGAGAAGGCCTAAGACACCTAAAACTTCCAAGGAGCCCAGACTAAGTGCCCTTGGCACCTTCTCGATTCACAGAGTCCACATGCATGTGCTCATCTTCTTAATTATGGGCCCCTAAGGGAAAGCCAAGCCTACTCCTCTAGCTATCGACCAGCCTCAGGGTGGCTGAGACCCAGTCTGATGGATTTTACCCTTCCCTTTCTTCCAGACGACCTCCAGGCCAACCTGGGTGAGTCTCGCTTCTCCTCCTCCTCTGTAGCATTTGCTTCTCTATCCCGACACTTCCAACACTCACGCTGTGTCGCTTCTTTCAGATCAGAGGAAGGCGCTGTACAGAGAAGGAAAAAGACAGGGGTCCTGCACCCTCCATGCCCTGATGCCAGCTCCTGCTCAGCACCGTCTCAGGGTGGCGAGAGGGGACTGAAAGGCCTAATGGTGGGGAAAGGGAGAGGAGAGGGGGTAAGGGTGAGGCTCTGGTCAGTGCTCAACCATCTTGGGTCTCTTCTGTTACAGATTGGAAGAAGGCCCTGCTGTACCCTGGTCAGTGAGTCCTGGGCACTGAGTCTTGCCAGCAACTCTAAAACACTGGGCATCATAACGGAAACTTAAACACACATGAGCTCTCACACGCACACTTTAACAGCTGTCAACTTGCAAACTGAAGAAAACAAAACAACAGCACAGTTTTTTGAGACAGGGCCTCACACAATAGAGGCTGGCCCACTTGCTCTGTAGCCAAGCCTGGGTTTGAGCTCCTGGGCCTCCTGCCTCCCCCTCCCAAATGCTAGGATTTCAGGCGTGCACCACCTCACCCAGCGAGCTGTGATCATTTGTGTGAGGGAGCCAAATAATCAGGGGACAGGAGAGAAGGGAGAGGATGGAAGGGGAGAGGAGGGAAAAGGAGGAGAGAAAGGGAGGGGAGGGGAGGGGTGCCTGTCTCTTTCAGTCTCTGGGCTCAGCTTTCTGCTCTGCTCTCTTCCAGACTGGAGAAAGGAACTGTTCCAGCAGGGCGAGTGGGGTTGCTCTTGCTGGCCTCGACCCTTTGACATTACCCTGTTGTTTTGGAGCTGAGTGTCAAACCTCGCATGTGCCAGGCAATCTACTGAGCTGCCAGCCCCCATTGTGCTCTCTGGTGTTCCATGCAGTCTTGCTAAGGGAGACACTGCTGCTCAGGCAGAGGGCGGGGGGGGGGGAGGAAGGGATCAGGTGAGGATGCTGGGTGCCACTGCCAGGCTCAGCCTCGAGGCCTCTGTTCACCCTCCACACGCTGGGCCAGCGTTCATGTCCATGGAACCCGCTGAGATGGGAAAACACACACACCATGGCTCCTTACTGAGAGGTGGCCTAACTGAGGGGAATCTACCTTGATCGATCGGTAAGAGCACTCAGCTTCGTTTTGTGAGGTCAGCCTGTGACCTGCCCTTCCACAACCGAGGAGCTCGGCTCTGGAGTACCGAGGACACAGTGTGGACAATGGTGTTAAGATCACTTCAGGTCCTGGCTCCCTCCATGCTCTCCCAAGGCCCCACAGTAGCACAGACAAGATGGAATGAGATGCAGAGCTCCGAATGCAGGGTGTGAGCTCGTGGCCCCACACACTGAGGGTGCTGACACAGCAGCTCTCCACAGCCAGTTTCCTTCAGACTCATCCTCCTACACACTTTGAACACAGTGGTGCTGGTATACAAACATCACAGCAGCGGCTTGTCTTCTCCTCCCCCATCATCCCTCCTCCTCTTCCCCTCCCCTTCCTCCTCTCCTCCTTTTCCTCCTCCAGCTCCAGTGAAGATAAATCATGAAGCGCCTGACCAGGAAGAGACCAGAGGAGAGGAGACGCAGGATCCTTCTGTCTGCAGCACACAGGTAGCCGGGAGCCTCATCACACTTTGCCAGGAAGGGAGATGTTGGGGAGATACCACTGGGAGGCGGGCGCCGGGGACTCTGCGGACTGGAGGCTAGGCGTCTATGAGCTGTGCCCCCAGGGTTCGTCACCCAAAGAATGGCTGAGGAAATTCAGGGTCTTGGAGAAGAAGGGGGACAGATACAGGGCTCTCGCCTTCTGGTCCCAGTGTGTGTCTCAGGAACAACCCCTGATGCTGGAGGCCCCTCCGCGGAAGATTGCAGTCTTCCTGGACCAGGAGGACAATGACCTTTCCTTCTACAACATGACTGACAAGACCCACATGTTTTCCTTCACCCAGGCCAGCTTCTTGGGCTCACTCTATCCTTACTTCAAACGTAACTCCCTGGAGCTCTCTCCATCAGCACAGCCCTAAGAGCTCAGTGGGTGTGTGCTTCATCCTGTGGTGGATGGTCTGCAAGGACCTCCTGGGGGGGCAGGGACCCCTGACCGGGAGGCCTCTTAGCCTGAGACTCCCTGAGCCTCTATGGCCAGACCCTGGGCAAGACTCTCAGACCGTTTGTGCCGTGTGTGGTGCTATACTGTTAATGGTCTTCCTTTTTTATATAAATCTGTTTAATCGTTCCTGAGATGGGTGAATCCACGGCTTTCTGAATCCGATAGCACCTGCTGTGGCTTAATTATTGTTATTAATTATATAGGACCACGTTGGCCCGTTTTCATGCATGTGCGCAGTGTACTCTGAGCACATCCCCCAGTGTCTTTCTTTGTTTGTATGTAACATACTACAGACCAAAGATGTGCTGGTTAGGTTTTTGTCAGTTTGACCCAAGCTAAAGACATGGGATTCTCAGTTCGGGAATTACCTCCATCAGACTGGCCGGGAGCAAGCGCTGGGGAGCAGGCCAGTAAACAGTTTTCCTTCAAGGTCTCTGCATCAGTTCCTGCCTTCAGGTTCCTGTCCTGAGTCCCTGCCCTGAATTCCCTCAGTGATGGAGTGGGACCTGGGAGTTAGGAGATGAAGCAAACCATTTTCTCTCGAAGCTGCTCTTACTTACTGTCTTGGTCACTGTTCTACTGCTGTGAACAGGCACCATGACCAAGGCCACGACCAAGGCAACGCTTATGAGAGGAAGCATTTAATTGGGGCTTGTTTACAGTTCCAGAGGCTTAGCACATTCTCACCAGAGCCGGAGCATGGCAGCACACATAGCGCTGGGGAAGTAGCTGAGAGCCACAGGCAGAGAGAGAGAGAGAGGCTGGACCTGGGATGGGGTTTTGAAACCTCAAAGCCCACCCCCAGTGAAACTCTTCCTCCAACAATGCCACAACCCCTAATCCTTCAAATATACGAGCCTATGGGACCATTCTTTGTCAAAACACCACACAGAGACAGAGAACCAAACCAGGACAAGCAGTTTTAACTGAATTACTATAAAACTACACAACAAAGGCAAACCTGGCTATTGTGAAATTATAGCAATTATAATATTAGATTTACCATAAGTCAAATTACTCTGTGAATTTCCTCCGTAAGGGTTTGGGTTTGGGTTTGGTTGTTGTTTGGGCTTTCTGTTTGTTAGTTTTGTTTTTGAGACAGGGTTCCTCTGTTTAGGCCTCTCTGTAGATGAGGTTGATTTCAAACTCACAGATTTCCACCTGCCTCTGCCTCTGGGGTGCTGGGATTAAAGGCGTGCACTGTCCCCCACAAGTTTCTAACACTGTATCCATGCATGTTTCTTAAGGCGCTGTCAATAAATCACTTCTGTGTGGCACCAGTGACCAGACTATGCTGCCGAACACAGTTCCAAAACAACATTCAAAGGAACAAAAAATTAAACAAACCCACGATTCTCAAACAAAAGTAGCAACACTGTATTAAAATATCAAGAACGCTCCTTCAAATATTGATAGGAAAACGCTAACTTGAGAGCACTCTAAGCTCCATCTTAAATGCAGTGGAAATTAAAGCAGAAAAAAACCCATCAAGATCCCGTTCCATCAAACATGTGGTGGGGCAAACACCATCACCATCAGCCCCTGGGGAACCCCAAGGAGTGAGAAACATGAGGTATTTCTCTTGCTGGAGGCGGAGAGAGAAAGGTGTCACGCTGCCAAGGTGTTAATAAGGGGAACCAGGGCTGGAAAGATGCCTTGGAGGTCAAGAGCATGTGCTGCTCTTGCAGAAGACCTGAGATCATTCCCAGCCCTAAGCCAGGAGGTTCGTAACTGCCTGCAACTCCAGCTAAGGAGATCTGACACTATTCTGGTCTCCACGCACAACACACACACACACACACACACACACACACACACACACACACTTAAAAGCAAAAAAAAAAAAAAGCGAAGACGAGCACTTTCAATTCTTGAGTACTAAGTATGTCAGCAGAGAGCTCATTTTCTTCCATCCAATCAAAGCTATGTATGACATGGATAAGAAATACCCAGAAGAGGATCCAGCCTCCCTCTCAAGTGAACACTGCTTCTACTGGCAAGGCCAGAAAGCGTTGAACAGTCAGTGGACACTGGGTCCAATGGCATGAGGACTTTGGATAAAATATCTTAACTTCAGTCCAGAACAAAGTTCAACAAGATTAAATTCATAGTGCCTGACACTAAGAAAAAAAAAAAAAAAATGACCAGGCGAAGATATAACTCAGGAAAATACAACTCGGATTGAAGAGGAAGTCAATAAATTACAGAACTGCTATGTCAGAATCAGTATTGAGGGTGCAGAAATCTTAGAGGTGACTGGGTGTTGAAAAACGTTACTTACAGACATGATTTTAGGTTTGGTTTTGGTTTGGTTTTAATTTGAGTATTCTGTCTGCATGTGTGCCTGCAGGCCAGAAGAGGGCAGCAGATCTCACTATAGATGGTTATGAGCCACCGTGTGGGTGCTGGGAATTGAACTCAGGACCTCTGGAAGAGCAGTCAGTGTTCTTAACCTCTGAGCCATCTCTCCAGCCCCTTTTAAAAGATCCAGATTAGATTGTATAAAGGAAACCTGTGATGAGACGGTAGTGACACTGGGTACTACTGAGAACACAGGAGGAAATAAATAAATAATAGCGCTGTGTTCTCAGCCAGTTATGCTCCTCGCGAACCAGCTAGAAACTGGGCTCCCAGGAGCCCTTTCAGGTTCAGTTGCTCTGCTTGTCTCATGGAACTGAGAGATAAGCAGGATCATTAAGGTATTTGAAACTCAAACTACCTAGTGTTCTACCTACTGTTTGAATGGGATCAAACCATGACACATGCTAATATAAATCCCTGAGAACTGTCAATCACAGGAGTTGATCTGAGCAGCTGTCAGATGTGCCATGGATACACAGTAAGCAGAGACATAGTTAATACACTTTCCTCTTCTGCTCATCGTTTTAGAATTCCGTATCCTTTAAAAAAAAGAAATCTATTTGTCTTGTGTGTGTGGGTTTTTGCCTACATGTATGTCCGTGTGCCATGTGTGTGCCATGCCTGTGGAGCCCAGAAGAGGCATCATATCCCCAGAACTTAAGTTACAGAAGGTTGTGAGCTGCCTTGTGGGTGCTGGGAATGAACCCTGTTCCTCTGGAAGAGCAGCCAGTGTTCTTATCTGCTGAGCCCCCTCTCCAGCCCCAAACTTCAGTATCGTATTCTATAATTTGGAAAATAATGCATTTTTTTGAAAGATGTAAGCTGCTATTAAGACAGAGCTAGAATAAAATTCACCGGGAACAGACTAATCCATCCCGTAGACTCGTGTCGCTTTGGTATATTTCACTTAGTGGTGTACCAAAGCGGCTGCTGGCTACAGTGAGCGTGCAGACGGCAAACTGTGGCTGGCCGACTGTGGGCTGCGGTTCCGTATACGTGACTTGAGCAAGCCAGGGAAACTTGCAATGGATTTGATGACATGACTTGTGCCGAGTCTGGAGCTCCAGCCTGCAAGGTTGTTTCCAGCTCCACTTTGCAACAGCATTCAGGCGCAGAGGGCTGCTTTGTGAGGCTTCAGCATCCTTCTAGCTCAGTGACAGATGCTGCCCCAGAGGTGGGGATTCCGCCCGAGGATTTACTGGGAACACAGAGCCAGCCCTGTTGATCTCCTGCCAACACAGACCAGAACATAGCTGGGCTTGCTGAAACGGACTGCTTGCTGATGGCGACTCGGCCAGAGGAAGACCACGAGGCAGGGACGATGCCTGGCTCCCCGGCACGGTCACATCGGCTGTTTCTCCCTTCTTGCATTGGTGTGCTCTAACCTGTGGACGCCCCCCCCACCCCCCCGCTTCTCCTCTTTGCGTTCTCCATTTCCCTGGGTTACATGCTTCCTACACACACACACACACACTCACCATGTATGCACGCACATAAATTAAATTAAATTAAATTAAATTAAATTAAATTAAATTAAATTAAATTAAATTAAATTAAATTAAATTTGAAAACGGCAGCGATGTTCTCACGCCTGCTGGGGAACTCTGTAGCCATAAAGTGAAGGACTCCAAAGGGAGGCCGCTGTGATTCTGGGCTGCTGTTGCTTATCTCATGCTGGAACCTTCTGGAATGGACTCTTCACCAAAAAGGCTTCTACCTAAGGAGCCTGGAAATGCTGCTTGTGAGCCTGCAGGGAAACCATTCTTTCACGTTTTGAGAACTGAGTGACACATTTGGCCAGATGAATAGGTTTGGTTTAGGACAGGGTCTCAGTATGCATCCCAGATTGCCCTTGAACCTCCCCAGCTTGGATAGCTTTCATGTTGAAGCTAATGTATGAGAAGAAATAGAAGACATGAGTGACTGAGTTACAAAACAAGAGAGTCCCAATTACATCATCCTTTGTCAAAAACAGAGCCCAGACCCAGGGCTGTTAGCCGGCCCACCCCAGCATCTACCCCCTCTGTGAACTGCTGGAGCACACGAAGGGGCTGGTTCTGCAGAACCAGAGCTGCAGGGTCTCCACGACACAGGGTGACGACAGGCTACCCCAGAGAAGTCCCGGGGAGGGTCCAGTACTGACAGTGCAACAGGAGCCAGAGCCTCGAACCAGACCAATGACCCATTACAATGAACACTTGCAAGTGAGTGTGGGCACAGGGCGGACTGTGAGAAACGCTGCGATGGAACGCAGCTCCCACAGAGAGATCTTTAATTACGTTTTCTAACTCCTTTTGTTTGCTTGCTTGTTTTCCATCTGGGGGAAGTTACAAGGGCAGAAGGCAGGTATGAAAGAGTGGGGGAGCAGGATTGGGGACCCACACACCCTAACACAGCTGGGGTGTGGTCCACAAGCCAGGAGAGGGACACGGCAAGTTCCAGTGGCTTGAGAGCTGACACAGGAGACACAGTAGATGTGGAGCTCAGGATCATGTTCAGCTACATAATGAGTGGGAGGTCAGCCTGGGCTACCTGAGACCCTGCCTCAGAGAGAAAGTACAAAAGGAGGGAAGGAGGGAAGGAGGGAGGGAGGGAGGCATTCATCCATCATTTCCCTTTTCAGTCTAGTGAACTGAATTTACTCCCTACACATTATGTCTAAGGCAGGAACAGTGTCTTATGGTGGAGTCCTTCCTTTCTCTAGTTCATATGGAAAAACAGTGAGTAGAGTCTCTTAGGTCCCTATTGGTGATGACACACCATGAGCAAAGGGAACATGAAGGATAGCGGGTTTATCACCCTTCATGATTACAGGCAACCATTGAAGAGAGTCTCGGCAAGAGCTCTAACTGGGCTCCAGGAACCTGGGGTGTGAAGCCGATGCAGGGAGGGGGCTGCTTGCTGGTTGGTTCCTTGTGGCTTGCTCAGCCTGGTTTCTATGGACACAGGACCACCAGCCCAGGGATGGCACCACTCGCAGGGGCTGGGCCCTCCCCACCAATCACGAATTAGGAAAATGCTCTACAGACTTGCCTACAACTCAGTGTCATGAAGCATTTTCCAGTTAGGGCTACCTCGTTGGCCTGCCTTGTAGTACACTGATATGAAACTAGTCCCGACACCAACACTGTAACAAGAGATGGGCTCAGATGCACCAGGCAGCAGAGAGGGGGTGCAAGGAAATGGCGAGGGGAGGGGAGGGGCCTTCCGTCCCAAGGGCTGCCAGGCCCAGGCAAGGGCTAGGCTGGGAGCACAGGTCTGCAGGGTCCAGCATCAGGAGGAGGCAGGTCTTGGGAGCACTGTCTCTGGAGGAATGTGGGCCAAGCGGGATGTGTTTTCACGGCATAGAGATGGGGAGAATGGGGTCTTTCCTGCTTGTGCTTCAATGTCAGGTTGTCAGACTCCCTTGACTTGGAGTTACAGATGTCTGTGAGCCGCCGTGTGGGAATTGAACCCAGGTCCTCTGCAACAGCAGCCAGTGCTCTCAACCGCTGAGCCATCTCTCCTGCCTCAACCCTCCTCATGAGCGCCAGACCCCGAGTGAACAGAGAGGTTGATTAGCCATCTGACTTCCCACTGGATTATTCTGGGTTTTTCTTATTTTTTAAAAAATATTTTTTCATACAATGTATTCTGTTCAGTTTTCCCACCTCCACACCCACCCAAGTCCACACTTTCTTTAATCTACATTAGAAAACAGGCAACTAGGACAAAAAGAAAAAAAAAAGGAAAAAAGAAAAAAAAGGTCAAAACAAAATGTCAGGGGAAAAAAAGGCAAACGAAAAAACAAAAGAAATACAGATACACATTCACACAGGAATAAAAAAAAATCTGAAACCATAATATATAACCAAAGATCTGTAAGAAAAGAAAACAGAACAGAACAAAACAAAACAAAAACCTCCCCACGACACCGTTA